AATACAATACAATACAATACAATACAATACAATACAATACAATACAATACAATTCTTTATTGGCCAAATGTGATGTTTAAAAAATTATGCTTAGAGGTTCTGCTATGGCAGTGGAAAGCTTTTTTAAGAAGTAGGCACATAGTCTATCAGGTCCAATGGATACAGATGGTTTTAGATTGCGTAGTGCCTTTTCAACATTGTCTTCTGCGAAATCAATGTTCATTAGATCGTTGTAATTATTTGTGGTACAAGTAGAAAATATTGGGCATTAGCCATTGCTATTTACAAAGACTGAGTGTTACATTTACATGTGGAGATCTAATAGAAATGAAAATCACAAACAGGTTCAACACTTCAGATTAGGAGGATTTAAGGTTACTGATTGCTTTCTTGTCATTAAAAGACAGGAAGCACTAGAGTTAACAAGTAATCAACCCAGAGTGACACCAAACTCCATAGCTCTTGAGTGACCTTCCACTGCAGTCTCTGGAGAAAAGATATCACATCGAGAGTCAATGAACTGGGTGTTGAACTATCTAATTCTCACATCACTTTCTGGACATGTCTGGATAGGAAGAATCACAACTACTACAGAATAGCACGCTCAGGGGTATTTCTGTGATTTTTCACTAACATGCTTTCCTCCAATTACCCCTCTTGATTCTCAAAGATTGTTTGTGATAGAGAGAGAACATACTCGTAAATTGTAATTATGACCATCCAGGTCTCTTGCTACTTCTCCAATGACTGCCTTTGGTGTTAAAACCAACATGGAAGAGATGATGCATCAGAAAAGGATAAAAGCCTCTGCTCATGCTCCCTGTGCCATGTTTTGGGACAGACAGGGTCTGTGCTCTTGAATATGCCTGTCTCTCCTTTCCATGGGAAGCTCCGTTTGTCTCTCTGTGAATCGGAAGGATCACTGACATGTCCATCTTGTGAGAATTCTTTCGATTCTTTCTAGTCTACTTGTTATACTTGTTTAGAAATAGGAAGCAGGTTGGTTTAGCCCTATGAATTATGAGCTTCCTACTTCTCCTTCTTGTGCTGATGCTGTGCCAGCCAGTCTCTGGGAAGCTTGGTATGAAGTGCCCACTCAGTTTGGAGCACCAGGATGGAAAACGACCATGGAGCTATTACAAGCCAGGAGACCATTTCATCAGTATAGTTGTCACTGCAACAACAATATCACATACCACATTGCCTTTCAACATGGCTCCTTCTAGTCAGTTTCACTTGTAAGTCATGAAGTGTGATTGAGTTGCATTCCCTCCATTTGCAGTTCTAACGCTCTCCTTTTTTTCCTTCTTATTTCACTCATTCCTTCATTTCAGGGCATATCTAGTTTCTTGAATTGTTATGACATCCTTGCTTTCTCTCTTTTGATTTATTTTGTACAAGAGACTGAAATACAAAGATGAGAGGAAAAATACTTTAAAGAAATGCAGAATACATACTCTCCCAATTCAATCCTGAGTTATCACTTGAATAGACAGACAGACAGACAGATAGAATTATATATTGGCCAAATGTGATTGGACACACAAGGAAATTGTCTTGGTGCAAGTGCTCTCAGTGTACATAAAAGAAAAGTTACATTCGTCAAGAATCAAGGTAGAATAGAATAGAATAGAATAGAATAGAATAGAATAGAATAGAATAGAATAGAATAGAATAGAATAGAAT